CCTGCTGATCGATGTTGACTGCCGGCATAAAGATCCGTGGTCTGTTGCTGATTCACAAGTCTGTTGCGGATCTTGACTCACAACATGCCTGTGACAGAAGTGTAGAATTTTGGTTGATGGCAACTGGAGCCGTGCGGCTCGCCCTCCTGCTGCGAGATCATCTCCCGCGATTGTTATCACCAGCTTTCAAAGTGACATGGGAGCCTGTGGTGCGTTGTCGTGTATTCTAAAAACCAAATGTCAACCAGTTTAATGACGTGCGAATATGACGGGCTCGGAGTAAAAATGCTCGTGTATAATCAAGGCCATAGTCTATAACGTACGCATTGTAATTTGATATTTTATGCTTAAAGGAATTTGTGATAAATGATGGACGCGATATATATCCACTCCTTCTCTGAATTATGAGCATCGATAATACATTCCATAATTGTCCCCGTTGAACGTTCTACATTTCGTAATTGTTTTCAGAGTTTATTCCGAGCGCAATAAATAGATTTTGTATTTTAAAAGAGGGATATAGGAAGGTTTTCGCAGAGTTCTCGTACCATATCACTTTGTAGTTTGCAAACAATGCTGTCGCAGCTTAATGTTAGCTGCTTTGAAAGAAATATTTGACCGAACGTAACCTCGTTAGGAAGTTTAGACAAACAAATATTTACCAGCGTAAATTAATATCTGGCTTTGTTTCGTTGCGCACACAATGTTAATAATTGCTGAGAGCAAGCGCATGCACGTCGCTTGATGATTAATTTTAATTTTTCGAACAAAAATTGAGGGGCAAAATTATGGATATGCGAAAGTCATCACATTAATAGTTTAATTTCTAAAACATATACTTTGACACTTCAGTACAATTATATTATTTTAAAATGACGATAAGACGATATAATCTTCTTTTTTTAGTCTATTACATCGTTCAACAAAAAATGACTTTTTTTCGAACATCGAAACGGGACTAGTCGTTTCTTATAGGTTTTTAGACGCTGAACACGAATCCGGTTTCGAAATCGCTCCATCACGCCAGAATTTTGAGAAATTTGCAATTAAAGTTGCAAAAAAGAGCTATTTTTACGAACTTTGTCATATTATAGCTACAATATGTGACATGCTGGAGAAGCTTTATTACAATCAAAATAAAGTATGTTGTTAGGACTTCCAACCCTCAAAAGGAATTTTTGGTGTCGGTTATGGTTAATAAGATATCCATGGTTAAATATGGGGTGTATTGCAGAAGTTAGCTGTGACTTGGATCATTGGCGACTTACCAAATAGCTTTCAATTATTATTTAAACCTAAGAGTTTTTTAGATCGCTGAATACGAATTAAATGTCAAAATTGTCAAATTCAAAATGGTGGACTTAAAATGTTTAGATTGCAATCTAAACATTTTTAAAGTTTTGACATCCGCCATATTGAGTCCATCATTTTGAATTTGACAATTTTGACATTAAATTCGTGTTCAGCGATCTAAAAAAGTCTTAAGTTTAAATAAATATAATTGAAAGCTATTTGGTAAATTGTCAATGATCTAAGTCATAGCTAACTTCTGCAATACAACCCATTGAAACCGTCGGTTATGATTAATAAGATATAGATGGTATTTAACCATCTATATCTTATTAATCATAACTGACACCAAAAATTCTTTTTGAGGGTTCAAAGTCCTAACAACATACTTTATTTTTATTACAATAAAACTTTTCCAGCACGTCATATATTGTAGCTATAATATGACAAAGTTCGTGAAAATAGCCCTTTATTGCAACTTTAATTGCAAATTTCTTAAAATTCTGACGTGATGGAGCAATCTCGGAACCGGATTCGTATTCAGCGTCCAAAAACCTATAAGAAACAACTAGTCCCGTCCCAGTTTTTTTTTTTTTTTTTTTTTGGACGTGTTATTAACAAAAATTAATTTTTATTCAGAGAAGCGCAAGTTTTTCATAAAAGTTTGAATTGTTACGTTGATAAAGTAAGAGAGAGAAACTTGCTTGACCTCGTTTATATTTCATGCTCTATAAAATTCTAAACGGTAGCATCGAATCTACATGAAGTCACACATGTCAAAAGAATAATTCAATATTTATGTATTTCAACGTTCAGTATTTTCAATTATTGAAAAGCGCAGAACACGTCGGAAGATCCTTAATTCTCTCAAGTATAACTGATGATGGATTTATAAATACAAATATCTAAATTTGAAAACGTCACAGTATCTGAAACTAATAATACGGTTGCATGAATAAAAAAACATCACTTTTCCACGTTTAAGATCATTGTTAGTCTTGGTGAGCAGGAACGGCATAATTCATTCGTACAATATTAATAAAAATACAAAGAAAAGTTTTAACTAAGCGGCTTTATTCGACAACATGAGCGATTGTAATTTAAGATAGAGGAAAATAAAATGTAGTTATGCGACTAATGTGTTTGAAATTGCGCGACTTGAAGTCGTTAAAAATAAAATTTCTTACCGGAAATTGCAAAACAAGAGATGTATCAAAGTTCGCTAAATTTAATCAACGTACGACACTCTACAATATACGTACTCCTTCTCATTAGCTGTAATTTCAATCAAGGAAATCATCCACGCGCCAACTAAAGGCCCTTAATTCCCGAGCGTAGTTGATCACGACGGTACTGTAATTACGAATTCAAACTCCCTAACGCTGCTGTAGTTAGCGAAATTAATAATAAATTTATACAAACCTATATATGACGTGCTTACACATTCTATTTTATACATACGCTGCCGTATTTCTGCCTGATGTAATCAATAATGTTTGATAATAATGAGATATTTGTAATCAACACAATCTGTACTTGTGTTTTTATCCCCGCAATTAATTGTGATTAAATTATTATGTTAAACGCTTACTATCAATAACTAATAATATTAATAATATTAAATAACGAATTTGAATTAATACGTCTTCATAGACTCTCTTTTCTCTTTTATTTAATTTTCTTTTTTAGTTAATTTTTGAAATTTGCCTATCATCTTTATATGCGACCAATAAAAATGTTGCTTTCCTAAAATGGAATAGTCCTCGATAAAATAAAACAATTCGTGAGAGACTAATTACATATTTTTATCGTAAGAAATATTCAACGTTAAAGTTTTTTGAATGCAAATAACCTGTAAGGGTGTTACCATTGTCAATCTCGAAATCACATTCGAAATATTTTTTGAACGATAAATTCCGCAAAATCACTTTACAAGCGCCGATTAGGCATTTTCCGCCATGGTATCGCGGTCGTTTGACAAACTTGGTCAGCTTCAACTTTTGGTTTTGCGAACTGATGCCATACAGGTAGGAATCCGGCGCGGTCTCACCGCATGCGCTTTGAAAGCCGCGTTCACTCTCTTCCGCATTCTGTGGACCGGGCAATTAACCTGTCGTGCGGTAAGACAAATTTCGGTTGCAACCGGTTTTCATGACTGCGTGAATCATAGTAATTGCGATGTAAATGGCTCCGTTAACCATTCTGCTCGACGGAATTAACGCGACGCTGCCGTGTTTCAGCATCACACTAAGCGCGTCATTGCGGTCGAAATTCGTTATTGCCTCGGGCTTAGAATTTTCGCCTAATGTTACATGGTCATGTACACGCTTTACGTACACGCTGCATAAAATATGAGCAATAAACGGACGATATCGGAGACATAAACATGCATTAAGAGTACAAATGTTGACCTAAATTAATATTAAATATTTTAATCCTCCGTTAGTCGCAATATTTTTCTCTCATGAATGATTGCAATGTATCTCACAGATACACTAATTCTCCCATTATTTTTCTCTGCTTCTTGAAGCAATTTTCCTTTATTTAGCAATTGCCTAATAGAGCAGGCACTAAAGTATATAAAAAATAGTGAAGAACAATACGTTGTAACCTAAAAATAAAAAAATAAAACATAAAAAATGGAGGAAAACGTTCCATTTTGTTCAAAGTGAGAGTGGAAAAATTCGCACGAGATACGCGGTAAAAAAGCCCACGCGGAGATAAAGCGAAAATGCGTTTAAACGTGGCGAAGAGACGATTATACCAATTTTCGGGAAGGCAAGGCGGAAAAAATATCAAAGAAACAACGAGAGCGGCGAGAAAGGGTGATGGAGAATCACGGAAAGAAGTACGGCCTGGGAAACGGAAGCGCGGGAGAGAAACGACGGGTATGGAAAGGACGGGACGGAACAATGAGCGGAATGGAATTTCAAACGCTCCACGCTCGTAATATCCCGGCGTATATTAATATATCTCATAATGATCCCGCCGTGGCGAATAATATCCCTCGAACGTGGGTGCCCGTCGCTCATGGACGACGGAGAAAGGAAGGAGGAGGACGGCAAGAAGCAGTCCGGTATTTGCTCATATTAATCGCCGAAGTTAATATTCGCGTGGGATGACGCGATCGACAGGTTAGTTGAAGCGCTGGTTGCAGAGTTGCTCGAAAATCTGACGGATCCGCGAGAGTGGAGGAGAGAGATGGGGTGGTTCTCGTATCGGATAACACATTGCCATTTGGTAGATCGTTACGCTTCTCCCCGGAGGGATTAAATTTTACGAGCTACGTTAATTAGCGAAAGCGTAGGTGGCTCCGTTCGTATCGGAAGAAAAGAAGAGAGGAGGAGGGAGGAGGATGTTAATGACTGGTGTATCTCGCGTGTTCACGACGAATAAAGGCGGTATCGTATTCTCGCATCGCGATCGATGCCATTTCGTTTATGAGTGTACATATTGTTGTGTATTTTATATTTTTGCTTTTCCCATATAATATTAAAAATTGTCTTTTTTTATATTGAATGCTTTATCGTTATCAAGCTTGTGCTTGATAAATATGCTAATTTTCCATAAATTCGTTTCCAACATTCTTATAATGGATATTTAGTACTGAAAGAATCAATATTGAGAAAAAGTCCAAGAAGACATCGAGATATTATGAATAAATCGCAAAAGCAGAGTCGTATATAGAGAAGCATTAGACTGTAACACGCAATATCCGCGATGTTTGATCGCCTTAGAGCGAAGCCCAAACAAACCACTCCGCAATTTACGATGAATAACCTGACTGGAAGAAGTTTCCGATGACGTATGAGAAGCGGAGACAAAATTATCCGGACGAGGAGATCGGTCTGTGCACGGAACGCAGAAACGAGTTCACAATGATCGTCGAAAGAAGGACGCGAACTGTGTGTAGCCACCTTTACAAACGCAACAAGGGGCAGTACGCTTATGGAGAATCTCGGGATTTATATATAATATCGATGAAATAATGAGAAAGAAAGCAAATGAAAAGCGAAGAAAAGCGGAGAAAAATTTCTCGCTGACATGAGCATAAAAAACCGCGATAGAAGAATGCCATAAATCTGCAGATAACGCTCGAAATCGATACCGAACGATACACATCGTAGCTTCCATCCTTAAACATCGATCTATACGATCTTGTGTATTCGGTTCTTTGATTCACATTCTAGACATTAGATGTGTATTACTGGGATATTAGATACTTAAACAAAAGTGTGTTCTATTCCAGTCTCAGATACAATAGATAACCTTCTATTTCTATTAGTTGTTCTAAATTGTTTTCTATTTATGCGATATGGTATTTCGAATATTACAAGAGACGGATATTTATATGCTACATTTAATACTGTAAATAGACACTTGATATTTAGCCTGAAATATATGATCTTTGATCAGAAATGGTCATATGTATTTTGCGTTAAATACAAGATCCTAAAAATTATTATTCTTAGAAATTTTGAACTAATAACAGAGAATATTGGAATATAGTTTTCTCTAATATAGTATACTCTCTCTCTCTCTCTCTCTCTCTCTCTCTCTCTCTCTCTCTCTCTCTCTCTCTCCATCTCGGAATTACATACATTATTCTCTCTCTCTGCTTTTATTTATAAACTTCAACAAACGTATTGTGTCGTTAATGTTCCCAACACGTACGTTTCGAATGACCCACTTTTCGCTTGCTAAAATACACGCAATCTGAAATTGTATCGTCTGCGGTCAAATCAAAAAACTAGTTGAGAGGAAGCCGTGAAAGCAGACATGTTAGCTATCGCAACGCTATGCGTGCGGATACGCAATATGTGAGTGGTTTACATTCCTTTTATATGAACAAAATTGCGTAAGCGGAAAACAGACGCATTGCGGAATAATGAAAAATTATCACGTATATTCAGCTTTCGTAACAACACGGATATTAATTTTGCTTTCCGTTTTTAACTCTTTGAACGATCACGTTGACATAAGTACCGTGTATGTATGGGCAATCGTTAATTGAATTTGTCGCTCAAAGCGATGTGTTATCTGTTTTAAAACCTGTTTTTCCTTGATTTATGAAAATTATTCAAAATAAACGGAGAAATAAATTTAATTATTATTAACTCAGTCTTAGTGATCTGTAATACTTGACTTTAATTGTGAGTGTGCATGTACATTTGTCTATGTTTCATAAAATGTTGTCTTATTTTACTTTTTTTTTTAATTGATTGCTAACGCAAATCTCTTTCTCTTTCTCTCTCTCTCTCTCTCTCACTCTCTCTCTCCCTCTCGCTCTCCCCCCCTTTCACAATCTAAAGCTTATTATATCATTTGTTCAGCGTCATGATGTATTTATGGACCATTGATCCAAGAAATGAAACAAATATATTTACATACACATACATATTGTCTCTTTCTTCCTTTTTTCTATCTCTGCCCCCCCCCCCCCTCTCTCTCTTTCTCTCATCTCGATATTTGCTTCGTTATATAAACTTCCTCCAAATTCCCTAAATTCCCCAAATATATATTCTAAATATTTATACAGGGTAATACAAAAAAAAGAAAAATATATTTCTTTTTTTGCAATTTGCCCAGAGATTTCCAAACAAAAATTTAGTTAAAAACGACATTTATCTGAATGGAATTCACCTTGAATCAATTATATTCTTAATTCTGCAGTTATGTTTTCGAATATCAAATAAGCCCGCAGCCAAATAGGAAATGTTAACTCGAGAGGAAATCGAGAAATGACCGCGTTAAATTGGACCTATATTTGTGGTCGATTGCACAAACTGTCAGACATTTGCACTCGCGGTATGAGAATATATCTTCATCAAATATATGATGAAACAACTAAAAACTATTAAATTACATAGAATTAGAAATGTGTACGACATTTATTTGGTAGAAGAGTGAAATTATGCAGTATGTTGCAAAAAGTTCTGCAACGCAATATAAAAACAAATGCAATTTTTATGCATTATAAATTAATCCCCATTGTTAGCTATAATTCTATAGAACGTGTGTTCCTTAATTCTACAAATTACTATTTTTAATAGTGATAATAATAATAAATTACATACAAGTTTTTGGAACGAATAAAACCTGAATAATTAAAGCATAATTATATAACGTATTATATAAACTTATCCTTGATTCTATTTCAATAATTTCGGACAGAAATGAATTACATTATGCCGCGAGAAAAAAAAATAAAGAAAAGGTTTCCGGTCAACTTCCGCTCGTAATCCTCGGTTTTCTCTAAGAAGCAACGAAACAACTTCTTTGTCCACGCTTGCGGTATTTTCTTATAGCTTGATGATGATAAATCGCTACGCTGGGAAGATCGATGATACGCGAATCCAGGCCTCGTTTGTACGCAGGGATTATAAAGACTCTCGTTACAAAACAACCCTTGGTTGATCTCATCCTCTCCGTAAAATGATGTTTGTCCCAGTGTGACTACTTGTTGAGCTTGCTATATACTTTAATACCGCGCTAAGCCGGAGACTATCACCATCGTTGCGCGTTATTATATATGCGTTTTGCTCTCGCATACAGGATTTGCAAATTTCATTCTGCAAATTTAAAACTGTAGTAATACATATTATATATAAAGCGAATACATACATAACATATAACGATACGACCCACGACCTTTGGATAAACATAATATAAAATATCCAGGTGATTTAGATTTAATAAATGTAATACAATAGTATATATATGTGTATTATAAAATAAATTTAAACTTGAAAATATTATATATAAATCCAGAAAAGAGTTTTAAATAAATACATACACAGAAAAATATTATTCTATTGCTAAGTAAAATGATTACTCAGTTTACTGTACTTCTTTTAAGTAACAGTTATCTTTAACAAAGAATATTTTCTTGATAATAGTCTTAAAATAGACTTGTCACAAATTTTAGAAATATTTATTATCATGTACTCAAAAAAAGTAAATATTTTCTTTTGAAGAATATTATAAAATTTTATCGAAGAAAAGTCAGATATGGTTAATTTAATGTAAGAAAATTTATTAGATCAGAAAAATTTAATGTATTTCTTTCAATTATATAATTTAATATTCTTGATTGAAGTATTAAATTTATTAGGATTCAGAATATATTTTGAATAAATTTGATGCTTATGATGAACTTATGATAGATTTGCGGATATATGAACTTATGAAATACTTGAAACAAGTAATATTTACTTGTATATAGTATGTATTTTTCTGTGTGCATAGACAAATCAAATCAAATAAATCAAATAACCTAACCGAACTTTTTCCAAAACATTTTATTGGATCAAAATACATATTTCCAACGCACACCCAAGTTATTTTTCTACATAGTTTTCACTAAAATCCGGTTTTTAACGGTTTTAATAATGAAATTTTTGGTAAATATATACTAATATATAGTAAAATTGTTCTTAATTAAAACAGCACAATAATTTTTCATTTTTTTTTTATATACGTTCATTCTCTTGTATCATGGTCAGATATTTGATCCAATGAAGAGGAACAAAGAACGGCAACAATTCACACGCTAAAAATAATGTTATAGGTGAGATAGAATTATATTAACTAAACGGCTTTTCTCTGTGTCATATTATCAAGTCGTTTAGTATAATCCATTTACAGTAGGAAATGGATAATACTTTGACATTCACAGCCAGTGTATACAGTTTTATATACGCTTTATCGGCATCAATACATTGCATATAAAACAGACATATACGACGCAGAGGCTTTCAAACTCTGAAAAATTAAATAAAATGTAATGAATCAATTTACTCTGTAGTAAGTAGATTTCAATTAAATAAAACAGTTTAATCATATTATAAACAAAATAAATGATATAAATTATGTTTAATCATATCTGTTTTTTAACAATTGTTACACAAATAATGTAAAATAAGTATCAAATTTCCAAAATTACTATTACACGTGATATATTGTCAATTTTATTGTCCTTAAATTATATTATCCCGTTTCAAATTAAATTAATTTAATTAGCTGTCCTTTCATAATTATACTTGGAAACATTTAAGTGCTAAATACGAACAGCCAATATTGATCTCGTAAACAGTGCATTGTCATCAAATTATAATTTAAATGTACATTACGATATCTATTCTTAAATTTATATATGCGTAACTATAAAAAAATCCACAGTTCCGTCATTACAGAAATCTTACGTCTGTGAATCCTTCCAACGATAAATCCATAAATTTTCCCGCAGTGATCGTCAGCCGCCTTTGCGATCTCATTATCACAAACAGCAGAATACGACTATCTCGAGGCTTGAGATCGTACCAAAGCGATTCGTATGTCGTATCAGCGATCGTTCTGCTCTAGAATGCAAACGAGGGACAGGTACGTGGAGAAGGATGGAAGAATGAAAAACGCGAAGCCAGGTGCGTCAGGTGCGTCAGGTGCTTCGGCACTCGCGAGCGCAGTGCTTTATTATCGCGTAAGTATTAGCCCATTACTTTTACACTAGCAACATAACTTAATGGCTTTTTTTTGTGCGAAAAGATTCTCTATCGTGGTGATTTCAGATACTCACTTTATTGCTGATATATTCGCCAGCGAAACAAAAGATAAATGCCTCCAAGGTGATAGCAAGGTAGAAAAATACAGTCTTTACCAACATCCTGATACCTTCGTTTGTGCCCAATGACTGTAAGCCAAGAAGATGATCAGGAAGAACGTTCGACGATTGCTATAACGCAGAGGTCTCAGACAACAAGGGAGCAACAAGTGGATAATTTTCCCTCTCCCCTATCATATGCGGCCCATAACGGGCCCCCGATTAATTCTGTAGCTTTTCAGCAAAGTTGATTCCTCCTTTGACATCACTATATCGAAACAGTGCTCGTACATTCAAAAATCGCTTTTAATTGTACACATATATGTAGGTAAGTCAAATATAAACCGAACTTTTTCCAAAACATTTTATTGGATCAAAATACATATTTCCAACGCACACCCAAGTTATTTTTCTACATAGTTTTCACTAAAATCTAAGCATTTTTGCCACCGGGTTGACAGTTTTTTTATTTCGAGACGCATTTTTGATGTGCATTCGCACATATAATGGATTTGTTTGGATATCTTAAAAAAGCCTTAGCGGCAGAAAGGTTTTCCAACGATGATGAAATGGAAGAGTTCGTGCGCAATTCACTTCGTACTCGTCCTGCTACTTTTTATGAAACAGAGATAAAAAAAACTGCCAGTGCGGTGGCAAAAATGTGTAAATATTAGTGGGTGCTATAGTAGAAAAATAATTTTGTGTTTGTTTTCACGTGTATTAATCGAATAAATAATTTTTGAACAAGTCTCGTTTATAGTTGATCCACACTGGTATGTATATATATATATATATATGATTCAAAACATCCTGATGTCCTTGAAATGTCATATTCTTGAGCGAATTCTGAGACGATTTCTCCTGTTACAAAATTTTATCCGAAGCTTAGTTTTTGAGTTATAATCAAAAATAGCTACAATATAATTGAATTAGCTACTTTTACAAGTCTGGCACAACGGGCAGGCAGGGACGACGCAACGCGTCACGAAACTCACTTCACAATTTTACAATAAATATTATTTATCGTGGCATTTTATGCCTTAATTTGTGTAAAAATTAATATTTGCGAGTGATAATAAAATACTGCAGTAAAAACAGTAATGTTTCTAATGGTATTTAAGTAGCTAATTATTTTCAATTATAATTCAAAAACTAAGCTTTGGACAAAATTTTACAAAAGGAAAAATCGTCTCAGAATTTGCTCAAAAATATGACATTCCAAGGACATCAGGTTGTTTTGAATTACTTACGTCTATTATAAAGTAAATTTAAACTTGAAGATATTATATATAAATCCAGAAAAGAGTTTTAAATAAATATATATACTATATATAGCATATGTGTGTGTATATTATACTGACATATTTTATTATAATATAGATATATTATAATAAGTAATGATGAATATATATGAATATATGTATATCAGCAGTTTTAAAGATTCGACTGACAGAAAATGTCGCATGTCAAAAATGAAAATTTAATACGGTAATGTTATTAATTCTGTTTATTTTAACCGAGCAAAATGTAATACGTTATTCTGATACTTATACTTCGACAAACATTATGATAATTCTATTATCCACTGCCTGGTATCGATCCTAATATCGTTAGTGAATTCTCGTGGATAATAATTTTAGCTGTTACTACTCGGTTGATCACATGCTAGCTGCTTCTTCTTGTCATGGCCGATCAGATATAATGTTCTTTCCCTTGTGTGTCAGTGCTGTCACATCTATCTTACAGTGAATTTAAGTACGTACTAGCTTTCGAGGAAACTTTACCTCCTCAGGATTGTTCTCGCCCGTATCTTCGTACGCAAAGACATTTAAAAAAAAAAAAAAAGAAAGAGAAAAACTTAACATTGAATGCGAGATTTCAACTATGGCGTTGTATGACTCTGGTAGATATAAGTGACGAACAAGGTGAGCATTCGCTATGCGATTACGATAAGGAGCAATCAATACATACGTGTTTCGTTTGCTATTTAAAATATTTGAAGAAAAAGTAATAAATATAAAGCAACACGCTTTCAAATTTTTTTATATAGATAATTAGTCTCTATTTTTATTCTCAATATAAAAATGCTATACTTTTTTAAACATTATTATGCATATACGTACATACACACATACACAAAGCAGTAAAAAACGGAGATAGAAAATGGAAATTAATTAATTAAACAGCGAAATATAATTAAGTTTATTTTAATAAATTTATTTGTTTATATATCTAAAATTTGGTTATAATTTAAAATATGTCTAAAGCCTTTTTAATAATTATCTCATTAAATTCTGATATCAAATTTTAAATATTAAATTCGGAGATACTGGCGATAGAAGTGAATTCTTTCTTTTCTCTCCCCCCCCCCCCCTCCTCTCTATCTCCCCTCCCTCTCCCCTCTCTATTTCTCTCTCTCCTAATTCTATTATTCCAATGAAATCTTAATTAAATCGAAATAATATGTGTTAACATTACTTAATAGGAAGAAAAAAGTCATTTGACGCAACACTCGTCGTCGCTCTGTAAAGCTCGTTATTTTCACACGCGACCTCATTTTCTGCCATACGTGCTCGTCATTCGAAAATCTCGTAAATAGTATTGAGTTAGTAACGATCGATCCTCCAACCGTGTCAACTCGAAATAGAGTTCTACGATGTGTGATGTTTTTAGCATTACGGCTTGTCTTTTATTTTTACCAAGCTCGCGGAGCAAAGACAGGAGAAGATGAATTGTTCTCTGAAATTCACTCGCACGCGCGAAAGCATGATCATAATGAATGAATCTAATCGATCTATGTTAACCAACGGTTCGTTATCCGATTTCCTCTTAGCGAAACGAAAGAAAACTTTCGTTCTTGTTAAAGAACATCACTTTCATCGCAAGTCATTGAATCCTCAATAAATTTTGTGTTTTTTTTTTATATTCGCGACAGATCTATCTCATTAAGATATTTTTACTTTTAAGAGCTTCTAAAATTGATTGTAGGTAAAAAATTGTTGTAGAGAAAATATTTTATATACCAATACGTTCCACAGATATGACATACGCAATAACTACGTGACGGAAATTTAAAATAAACGCAACACGGATACAATATCCCCTCTTGAGACCAAAATTAATATTTATTTTATGATGAAAATTCTCGGCCTGTTGTTTGCTTGAAACCAAAGCAAATGAATTTTTATCACATACAAACATAATGTATTTCTACAATATGTCAATATGATATATACATAGGACATATATATACTCTATCAGAAATTCGAATCTAATATTTTATTTATCCTATCTTATACGGTAGTATATCCGCTTGAAAAAAAAAATCATAAAAGTAATATTTGCCTCGAAAGTCGCGATATTTTCATCCTTTCACGAGCGGAAATTTCTATCGCACCATCGGATACTTTCATCATGCGTAAAAGTGTGTCGCGCACATTTATATATACATTATCACATACACATCATACATATGCGATATTCTGTGTGTGTGTGTGTGTGTGTGTGTGTGTGTGCATAGCGTCCCTATGTACAGCAATGCATCGATCCTGCGTGTATGCGCGTGTGTACTTGCGCGAGAACGGATTCGAATCTATTATCCCATATCAAATTTCATTCCTGTGCGTCGCACGTGCGTGTCGCGCATCCGCGTTTGTTACCTGGTGGGTTTATTACGTGTTGCACGACTGCCCGAGCGTGTTGTGTCACCAACATCCGATTGTTGTCCCACAGTACCAAAGCGTCGTCCGTAGCGGATTCAATCGGGTCTTTTAAACACAAGGGAAATATTGCTGCAATATTAACAATGAAATATATAAACTTGGTCTTATTTATATAAAATAATATGATTAAAATTATTCCCTTCTTGATTTTAATAATTTTTTTTAAATGGGAATGATGTTATGGTGAATTTTTTATTTGCTCTGAGAGTTAAACTTCTATCACTCTAATTGCAAGCACGAATATAAGGTATGTAGGGGAAAATAGGGTAAAACCGGGTACTTTTTTGAATTTTTCTTCCTACAAAAAATCAGACAAAAAAAATTTTATTGACCATTAGTAATCTTTAGTGGACCTTAAACTTTGAGAAAATGAGGCTAGTTGCTAAAAAAAATATTTGGTTACCAAGAATAACAAGATTTTTTGGAGAAGTCAAAATACCCGATTTTGCCCTACTGTTTTCGTTTCCAACTGCTTTTTGTAGGGAGACACAAAGTCAGGATAACAGTTTTTCCTCTTTTCATTACATGAGATGTGTAAGTACCCGGTTTTGCCCCATTACAAGGAAAGTATCAAACACGGCGGTTGTATATTCCGGCGTACAAAATGACGATCGAAACTAGTGTAGATATACTCTCTAATATGTACAGAATGCAATGCTGCATTTACCGAAGCAGATGTTCTGTGTAAAAAAAGTCCATAACGATTCGATTGTTGTCTCGGTATGGTTTTTTTTTGGCTCAAAAATGTTGAACTTCTCTCAAAAAAGCAATATCGTGTGCACGTGGCCACGGTTCATCTCAAAATAATGTTGGCATCAATCTATAACTAATAACACGAGTTAGCCAAAGATAGTAGCACTTATAACGAAGAAATAGAGGTACCTCGTTTGACTAGCCTATCCGATTTTACCCTACTTTCCCCCATATTTAGTTTTTACTACATTTATGGCTGAAACTCTAACTGTAGCCTCTTTAATTGATAGTATGTAAGTTCAGCTATGATGGTGTTATATTATTTATATATACGGCGCGCATCGTTCCCTCTTATGTACAAAATTAATCCAATTTCTCGTAGGCACGCCCGGCTTCCTAGAGATCAATGCGCACAATTCTACATCATGAATTACCCACCGCTACGTCCGATTTCCTCTCATTTTTTATTCAAGCGGCAAAGCGGCCTCCGCATCATATTGCGCCACGAAGGTGTAATAATGATCATACTTGGAGAGATTTTATATTTTTTATTTATTCCTTTAAATAAAATAAGCTTATCTTCAGGACATAACGACAGTCCAAAGACAACTATAAAGCGTATTGACGAAAAAAATACCGCGATAGTAACTATAAATATAAATGCATTAAAAGTTTCAAACTCCACTGACAGAGGAATCTAAGAAAAATGCAAAATTGTCAGCCTGCCTTAGTCGAATAATTTTCACGGCTCTGTAAACGGCGCAAATTTCCAAGTGACTTTCCAAGAAAAACGCGACTCCCGCGAGAGATCTCGTTATGCGCCACCACTTTGCGGGAATTACCTTCCCCCTCCTTTTTCTGAGAGCAGATTAGTCTGAAAGTTTTCTCTTGCGACCACAGCAAAAGTTACATGCACATGCAAA